ACCGAAGGAAGTGGAAGGGCACCGTGCCGCGGGGGGCGGGGGAGGATGTGTGGTTCACAGCGCCCTCTTCTCTTTGTTTCCGAATGTTTTCGAGCCTTGAAATGCTTCCAGAGCTTAATTCGGTGACTAATCTGAAGCTGACAGCTTTTGTAGTGAGCGGACTACTGAGCAGTCACTCAGTGCAGCTTGTACATGGGGCTGCAATGCCAGCGAATGGAAGAAGTAGACTTCCTGCTGGTACCCTTCAACTTTTGACATCTGTTTGCTAGAATAGATTGAGGGCAGCTCTTAGGAGGCTTTTTTTCTTGTGTGGTGCATCCAAGACTTGCTTTTTTTTGATGCAGAGGGAAGGGTTATTTTAATGGGGGACACGACTTGCAGGTCTGTTGGAGTTCTTGGAAGGAATCAGCAGTGTAGTACGTGTCAGTGTTGTGATCGATATCCTGAAATTGGAGCTCTAAAAAAAAAACTACCTCAAAAAAACCAGCACCACCAAACTCAAACTACGCCATAGCCTGTGGTGAAAGGCTTGTGAGATAAAAAGCAAATGCCAGGTGGATTTATGAGTGATTTCTGAAAACCAAGGGAGCGAAATGAAAAGTCAGCTGGCGTTTAATACTTAAAAAAATTGTTAATTGTGGTCAAAATGGCAAAGCATTGTGAAAAGATTTTGCAGTATGAAGGGACTGGATGGTAAAATGGGAGGTGAAATCCAGTATTAACATGTATGGAGTAATGCACATAAAGTGTGAAATGTATTCATGCATAATTTATGTGGGGAAATATAATGGCTTCAAACTGAGCTGTTAGTATCCCAAAGAAAGGATTAGCTGAAGTAATTGCAAGCATTTCTTCAAAATATCTGTTTAATGCTTTGTAGCAAGCACATAGGCAAATCAAACATTAGAAGTTTAAAATAAAATAGAAAATGTCATTATATTGCTACAGGAATCTACCACATCCTTGTGTCTCAGTGTATTTTCTTGTTAAAGTGTATTACCTTATTTAAAAAAAAAATAAAAAATCCTAGTTTCTTTTTAAAAAAATAGGATGGTGAGAGCTATGTAATGATTTTTGCATGAAAAAACTCTAAACAGGTTAGATCTGTCTAGCCTGGAAAATAGATGACTGGAGGAAGGGTGATGGTTATAAAACTGAGTAGAATGAAAAAGATGAACTGGGAATGGTTGTGAAATTGCATCATTACAGAGGAACTGGAGTGCATAAAGTTAAATGATCAAGCAACAGGCTCAAAACAAAAAAATTTTTTTTTACACAATGGAGAAATAAATGGCAAGCTCATTAACAAAGAATATCTTGGGTGCTGAAACTTTTAAGCTCATGGAAGAAAGGTCAGCATCTTTAAGCCAGAGTACTAATACTCGGGTAAGGAGACTTCTGCAATGCAGGTAACTAGGACTGTAAGGTTATATGAGGGTGCACCTTGTATGCTTTCCCTGGGCTTGTGATCTCTTCCTGCATGTCCTGTACTGTCCGTTGTTACAGACTACTAAATTGTGACCTAAGTGGATATTTATTCAAGTTTCTATATGCTCATTAAGTGTTGTCTGGCCACTTTTAATCTTTTAGAAGATGAAACGTGGTACTTGCTAGGGTCTTTATGTTTTCAGAGTATGCATATGAGATCTTTGCTTATTCTCTTCCTGAAAGATTAAAATGATTTGACAACATGCCGTTCAAAATTGGAAACGAGTATCATTTTCTCCAGGCCTTTCTGCTTTTGTCAGTATGTGACAAATGGAATTGAAATGCTAAGGATCTCTTTAACTTTGCCTGCTAACTTAAACACCTCTCTAGTGCTTTCTTGCTTAAAGAGAGCAAAAGTAATTAATAAATGGCTTTATTTTTAAGTGGCTTATAACTACTTGGCAGTTTGGAGTTCTGTATTACACATTCGACTTGCATTCAGCAAATACTTTCCTTTGACTCCTTCATTGTATTTTACTTTCAACAGTATCAGAGCTTATAAAATGATTGCTAAAAGTCACCTAGATTTACAAAGTACCGAACACAGGAAGCTGACACGTTCATTGTTTTTTTGGGGGTGACTTGAACTGTTACCATGTTAGAAGTGACTCAGTAGGATTTGATAATGATTTACAGTATTGGTAATGATTTTTTTTTCCATCATACAGCATTTATTGATTAATATTGGTACACTTCTAGTTCTCGTGCCATGATTATTAATGGAAAATATTCAAGGAAAACAATGTCAAGACCACTACTAGAAAAACTGAGTACAGGCTACTTCCAATTTAATTGCTGATCTGTGCCAGTGATGGGCAGTTTCTTACTCACCGTATTAGCTACAGGTCTCTATTCTTTACAGCCTGTTGGACTCCCAGGGACACTGAGTGCTATGTATGACAGGATATGAGTAAATGCCAGCCAGTGAGACATACAAATTAATGGACAAATCTGACACAAGAATGGCTGGATGTAATCTTGAGTAAGCTTGATCTGATGATAAGAATATTTTACAGCCATCTGATGAGAGGTATTGAAACAGCCTTATGAAAAGGACTTAAAGGGTCAAGAGCCTAAACAGCTGTAACTTGGATTTTGAGTGGCTTATAAAGACTCGTGGTGTGAATGCTTGCAGAGAACAATACTTAAATATCCAGGAGACATCCTAGGATCATATGGATTTCTGCTGCTTATCACAAATATGATGTGATAAGTGCTATCAAATAAGGGGGGGGGGGGGATTAATTTTATCATTTTTCTAAAGTGAAAAGACAAAATTCAAAGCACAAACTATCAGAAGTTATTTGGACCAGTTCTTCAGACATGTGAAAAGCAAATGTTTATGCCTGAATTAGGCATCTATGTCTATAAAAGTACTTTGAATAAATGACCTGATTTCTTTTTCTTTTAAACATTTCTGGATGCTTGCAACTGGTACTTTCAATGTTGATCTGAATTTGTTAGGAAGCACGGAAGTCTTGCAGCTAGCAACATCTCTGTTTGTAAACTGATCACATCTGACATAGAAACCATTGAGGGACTGTAAACATAGCAATTTTTCAGTTGACCCTTTAAAAGTGGGATTAAGGTAACTTTCTTCCACTTTTTTTTTTTTTTATTCTCACCTTTTCTGATTTCCTTTCTCTGGTTTCTCTCTGCTGGTCTCACTGCTGCTTCCATGTTCCTCTGCAGATGGTAGGAACTCATGCATAGTCAAGGATATAGGATAAGATAAAGTACCACCCAAGGTGAACTCTGGTACTGCTTATCTCTGTGTATTTGTTTTATTTTCCCCATGTAGAAATGCATGGAGCCATGTGAAATTGCCCAAGTGCCTTCAGTGGAACAGATGGAAGCATTCATCTCATTTGGCAAGAGAGGCTAATGAGATGTGGTTTGAGAGACATGACCTTAAAACAAAAATCATGTAACTCAAAGTGCCGAAACAAATGTGTGGTTTCCTTCACAAGTCTGAATTTAGTTGCAGATAGGAGAACGTTTGAGCCCTAAACTCTACCTGAATAACTTTTCTTTAATGCTTTGTTTAAACAGTTTTGTAACTATCTTAAATGAGTGAATATTGTAAAATACTTCAAAAGATGAGAAAAGCCATGCTTGATTAGACCAGCAATAAAGAGAAAATACCCTTTAATTTGAAGCTGAGTTTTGAAACTGTTACAAATAGGAGGTCGAAAGAGAGCAAGTTTCCTTGTGATCAGTCAGCAAGCAGCATGTGGTAGAGTGTTGTTTTAAACGGGACCAGGTTTAAGGAGCTGTGCAGAACCAAGCACCGTGTCACCTGATGTCTTCTGTTATTCCAATATCAGAGTAGTGTATGCTTCCTTCAGTCTGATCTTCTCCATAGCAAAGCTGTGCACTAGGGCAGTATATTATCTACATCTTAAAAATGGTGCAGTATTAAAGTGACTTGTCTATGGTCACAGAAGACATCTGATGCAGAGCTCAGAGTAGAACCCTGTTCTCCCAAATCTCATGGTAGCATCTAGAGCTCTGTGCTCCTTTTTTTCAGCTATAGCTGCTTAAGATTTTCTGTGATGGACATTTCAGCATTTGAATACAGGCAACATTCACCTTGGTGATACCCCAGTTCTAAATTAGTCTTCATGTGCTGGAGTAATAGCATTCTATTTTCAAATCAGTAGGGACACAGAGGTAGAACTATCTTGCAAGACTGCACAGGAAGCCCATAGCAGGGTCAGAAGTAGAAGCCAGATCTTCAGACTCTGTCTTGTGTTGTTACTGCATCACCTTCCTTCCTTTCTTGGTTTTATTTGTATTTCACGTAACAAAAATCAGATTGCTTTACCCCAGCACTCCATAATAGCCCTGGATTTTTTTGTTTTGATGGCTCTCCCTGTTTCAAATGGAAGAGGAAAATATGCTCCAATAAAGAAAACCCTCCGTTAGCTTTTGCGTACAGGCCAGTATAAGGTGAATGAAATACATGATCCTGAGACTTGTACCCCTCACCTTTTGAGGAGGAGTAACATTGTAGTCAGATTGCTTTGTTTCTTTCCCCTTTACAAAGAACTAAGAGTAGGTGTGGGAAGTAACAGTAAAGGTAGCTTTAATGAAGAATAGTCAAATCATAAAATCTGTTTAACATCCTGATACAGCACAGATGTTACATACATCTATGTATGAGTCAGTAAAAGAGGCTTTGACGCATGGTCCCATCTTCACAAACACATTGCATCATGATTTATAAGAAGGGTTGACGTACTGATAGCACAATGCCAAATGTGGCTTAAACATTTCTGGATGGCACCTGACTGTGGCATTTTAAGTGAGACACTGGCTCCCAGCTTTTAGTGAATACTAAACTCTGCAGTACCGAGAGCTGCTATTTTGCCTAAATGCAAAATACTGTCTGTTTGTGGTAGACAAGATTTCCTGACTTTCTCTGGATTCAGGTATCTGCTACACCAAGAGCTGCAGCCCCCGCTTTGCATTGTGATGATGTACTGTTGGATCTGGCTTACTCCTTTGATAGGCAACTTCTTTCACCAATTAATGTAGAAGTATTATAGTCTGCATGTTGTTGCTGCTTGTTTGCTGCAGATGCATTGTGGGTATGCTGTTTGACTTCCACAGGTTCAGTCAAGCTAAGGATGAGGAAAAGGTAAATCAAATGGCTGAAGAAAATAAAGCAAGCACTGGAAGACTGATTCAAATCAAATATGTTGTGTGTGGTGAAGTTAAATCAGTAGGACTTCTCTGAGAGCAGCTTACCTGAACAAAGTGGAGGCATGTGAGATACAAACTGGTGGTGTCAGTTACCTGACCAGGGAGAGCTCTACAGCAAAAGAGCTGTGAAGCTAAACGGAGCTACATAAAGACAAGAATGCACGGAAATGCCCATTTTCCTTTTTTGTGTATTTTAAATTACCTTACAATTATTTTCTTTTTAAAAATACAGTATTACATAACTTACAGTTCTTCAGCATGGCATGATGTTGGGTGTTACCACTTTGCAGTGTTCTTAAGAGGCTGAGAAATAAATAGAAAATGCATTGTCTTCTGATTCAGAAGTAACTTAGTACTGTGAATTTGCCTCCAGGCTTTGTGTGTATGGTTTTGTTTAATGGCGTATTTAGTTGATATTGGTTTTGGAGAGAGTTTCTCTTACCCAGAATAACTTGTTCTTTAGTAGTCTGGTTATTTCCAAGGGAATTTTTACTTGTTTAGTAATCATGAGGTGACAGGGAGTCTCAGCTGAACAGGCAGTCTTAACTTGATTCAGACAAGTGTGTTTGTTTCAGGGATTTTTATTTTTTAACCTTCCATCCAAGCTGGCACTGTAACTAGAGCAAGTGAAAGAAAGAAATCTTTCTACTTGATTACCTTACACCTAAATCTCTTTGGTACAGGCTGGGACATCTGAGGTTTTGAAACTCTAGTTTTCAAGCCTGGTTTTCCTCCCACTATTATTGGCTAAGCCTGTTCTAATTTTCTTTTCAATCCACTGCATCGTAGTTCATTTCACCTGGCTATTATCACTGGTCTGGTTGTTTGTTGGCTATAACCAGTCTTGTTGGCTGATTATTTACACTGTCTTGTTTGTAGTCCAGAGCTGGAGAGCTCTAAAGTCTATTTATGGTACTTGGTATTTTGGATACTCAGACCATGGTGCTCTAACTCAAACAAAACATGGAAAAAAGTTAATGCTGCTTTTCTTGAGACTGTCCAAGAATGAACTGTGAACGTTCTTTAGTATTTCTCCCTCTCCATCCCCCAGTAATTCTGCATGTCAAATGGCCTGTTTGTAGTGACAGAGGAAGAATGTGGTCTGCTTTATCTAGCATAACTTAAAATACCTCCCTTAATGGGTTATTTATACCAAATATACTCAAGTCATGCTGTAAAGTGCCCTATAACTCTTTTGGGAAGACCCTGAATATTTTTGGGTCTTCCTTCCCCCTCCCCGTTCATGGTACTCTCTGGAAGTCATGTGTCTGTTTTGCGGTAATTCACTTTGCAGGTGTTTTAGGTAGGACTTTAAACAACCAAACAAATAATTAAAAAAAAACCAACCAAACAATTTGTGGCTGAGAGTTTCTCCCCCCACACATGCTTTTAGAAGGTACCACATGCTTTTCATGTACTTCTAAGTCTAGTGTCTCAAATTTTGTTTCTGTCAACAAATTGGGGAGTTGAACACATTTTTGAATGACTTGTAATATTTTGCTTAGGTCTCACTTTCTTGCAAGTGTCCTATATTCACTTGGAATATTTTATGCATTTTTTCCCACGTGGACTAGCCATTAGCATGGCTTCTGGAAATTTGATTACTTCTAATGGTGCTTAGACCCATGAGAAGAATGGATTGTCTTCTGGTCTTCAGAATGCACAAAGCATTGAAGGTCCCAGAGACCTGAAATATCCCTCAATAGAAAAACTTTCAGAAAGCTGCTATTTCAATTTTTACTTCCAGATCTGAAAGAAAAAAGATGCCAAAACGAGACATCTGCCATTGAGGTTTTTTCTAGGTGTGTGGGGATTTAGTGCATTTGTGGGACATCAAATTCAATTTAATCACAAGTCATTTAAAGGTTTAGGTATTAATGGAAAAGGAAATACTAGGTGTAGGCTTTAGGAATTAATTTAGATCATAAAAGGTTGTCATATAAAAGCTTTCCTCCAACTCTCCTCAGCAGCAGAGAAGTTAATGGAAATTAAAAGTCTGCAGGATGTGAAAAGTATTCCAGGAGGGAGAGGAAGGGTGGGATGTTGTTGTGTCTTAAGTAATGGCCTGCTCGTATTGGTATGACTCTGCTTACAGAAGAGGAAGAAACACAGTCGTGCTGTGGTTACATAAGTGCCACTTACTAGTCTTTCTTCCCCTTCCCTAATATGCCCCTGTTGTCCACACTCAGAAGTTTGTTTCTGCTGACAGCTGTGTAATTGGGAGGATGGGTTTCCCTAGCTCTGTAAAATAGGGCTCTTAATATTTGCGTAGGTCAGCAGTATAGGCTTGAAAGCTAGCAAGACCTTCTGAACAGAGAATGGGAGTATTAATTTATAGGTCTGTGCCAGACAGATGGTTTTTGGTGTTGCAAATGATTCTTATATAGCATATGTTTTCAAATAGCTGTTTAAATTTTATGCTACTTCACTGTGTATTTCACAGATGTTACGTTCCTGTTCTACGGATGATGAAATTTGACTGGTTAGCTAGAGGGAAAGTGATATCACTAGTTTTCAGCTGGGTAAAACTCTGGTCTTTCTTGACCTAAATGCTTAGATAAGGGATGCCTTTTAAAAGGGAGATTTGGGGTTATGTTTACATATATTTGTACCTGCTTTAAGTTTCTTGGCTACCTGTTATAGAAACCCTTATACGAGAGAGAGGAGAAGCTGGATCTTAAATATTTTTCAAGAGAGATTCTAGAAGTGTGACCATCTCAACTCATTACTTGCATAGTTTTTGGACCCAGAGCATTTTAGCAGTGGAGCAGAACATAAATTTACCAGAGAATATTAATTTTACTTTAATGGGATTTGGGCATGGTGAGGAAACACTTTGAATTTGGGGGATGTGGTTGGTCTTTTAGTGCTTGTGCATTTCAAAATAGGATTTATTATAAAACATGGTATTAATTTTAAGACCTCCACAAGTGTGCTTAATAGTGATTATGTAATGCAGGTTTTAAAATGTGATTTTCAGAATGGTGTGTTTGCTGAGTGAGGGTAGAAACTCTAGTGCTACCTTTTTACAGGGCCTGTGTAATGAATCCTGAGTCCTTGTTTTGGTATAACCACAGAAATTTGTTTTCTCCTGACAGCTAAGACCTTTATCTGTGCAACGGTGATCACCCACTTACTGCTTGCTATGGCAGTACAATTCAGAATGTGTAGGTCCTTGCCTGTAGCTTAAATGTTTGCTTCTGGATGAAGACAAACTTTATCAAGTTGAATTGGTATTTACAGGACTGTAGAATGGAGTGGGTGTGCTATGGAGGGGTGTTGGGGTTGAGAGTTGGCAGTTAGAGGATGGGAGTTGTTAAAATCTGTTCTTACTTTTCTGTTGTCTTTGCCTGAGAGCTGACTATCAATTTGAATGAAGTAACTAAGCAGTACCTTTCTTCTTTCTCCTGCAGGCTGGTACGTGGTCTGGCAATTGTTTTTGTCTAAATTCAAATTCCTGAGAGAATTGATAGGTGATACTGGGTCCCAACAGGGAGACAATGAGCCTTCAGAGACTGAAGCTGAACAGGAGACTCCACCCTCACCTCAGAGAGGTAGACAGAAATCCGCTCGACAGCGAAGGGCAGCTGCAGAAGAGACAACTTAAAGTACTCCGTTGAACTTCTCACTAACTATGAATGGTTAAGCACCTCTGCACTGTGTCGTTCAGTGGTTTGATCTTACTGAAAAACTGACTTAAGAGGTAATATTAATACCTGTGGACCTTTACTTCTGAACTACCAATGTATGCTACTTTGATAGAGGTTCAGGGAGGGCTTCAGCAGCTAGTCATAGAATACTGGAAGAAAGGAGGGGTGGAGAGAAATCTCCATCAGAAAAATGTTGAGCTGCTGTAGCTCTTATCTCTGCACACAGATTGAAAACAGGTCCTGGACCACAGGCTTAGCCTTTGCATTAGTCTGAGCATAGTAAACATTTCAGACTTGAAATGGTTTCTAAATTATTTTTTCTTTTCAGCACTGTAACTACATATAGTGAAATTGAGTTTTATTTCCTTAGCTATATATGAATATCTATTTTTTTCTTCAACCTTGAGAATGCACGTGAACTTGAAAAATGGTTGAAAGAATATCCTGCTTTAGAAAGTATTCTAAAGTGAGATTTTAGTTATGTTCTTATATATATAAAAAGTATAAGTGAAATATGAAAAATCAATATTAGATGTACATGATTTGCAGGTTTATATTATCTCCTTTTTTTAAAAAAAGGGGGCAAAAAAAGGAATTGGATGGTAAGACCTGTGTTCTTGCGTTTGGCGTAAGGAGGGTTATAGGTTAAACTGTCCTGCTAGGTTTCTGTATGGTTTTCCTGAACCTTTTACTCTAAGTCCAACTTGTGTTGGAGAGGGCAAGGTGCCTAGGTTATGTACTCACTGTTTAGTATTCTGAAGTGTCATCCTTGGTTTTTGGATACTAAGCACATCTCTAGTCCGCTTTGTACACCTTTACATCAGTTATATGGTACCTGACATAACTTCTTTCTTGGAACCAGTTAAGGCATTCTGACCAATTTGGTAGATGTCACTGTAACACTTTGATAGTGTTACAGTAATCAATTTGGTACCTCGTGTTTGCTGGAGGACTTACTGATTTTTACCAGTAATAAGCGGTTGCTCCTGTTTTCTTTGAGAATGAGTTATACAGCTGTTTTGACATTGCACGTCAGAATGAAGAGCTCCACTTCTGTTTACCTAGCAACTCTGAAGATCGATGCTTGAGATCTTTGGAAAGAGGAGGAACGTGTGTGTACCACCTCTGATGTGTGTATGAGAGAGAGCTACCAACAGGTCTTGTCACGAACAGCTTCAGTTTTCTCTCAAACCTTGGATATGTGGTGGTGTTTGGATCATTGTTCCCTGTATAAAAAGTTAAACAGGACTACAAAATTGGTCTTCTACTTTCAGCTGTTAAGAAGTTTAAACCTATGACTTCCAAACTTGTGGTTTGGTTCAATTATATGGCTAAAAGCAGCAACATTTAGCTTTCTCATCGAGTAGTCTTGCGTCTGGGAAGAGAGCACTCTTTTAGCGCCTTTGTTTTAATTTGTCACCTGTGAATACTGTTCAAAAGCTAATGAGAGTGTTCACTTCCTAAAATGATTTGGAAGTTTCAGTATTAAAATGTATAAGATCAGACCTGACCTTCCTTTGGAGTCTAAAAGTCTTTGTTTTGTTTACTAGCATGTATGTATAAGCATGCTTTGTATTACAGGGTTACATCTTCAAGCATGATTAGGCAGTGCTATGCACATATCCTTTAAACACACGTAGAAATACTGATAGTCTCCTTCCTCTAGCCTGTCTGCTGGCAAGGGAATGTCTAATAATGGTTTGGTTTTTTTAATTAGTAAAATTCCATTTATTCAAACTGAGCAAAAGCAATCAGATTCTATTCCCTGCTGCTTTCAGTTGTTTGCCTTGCACAACTTAGTATCACAAAATATTGTGTCTGTGTGTCTCTTCACATGATGAGACTTTCAGTTTAGCAGTGCTAACCAAGTACTGGTACATTTTCCTTAAACACCTTTAGCATCTTTTTCTTGAGCTTTGCTAATATAGGCTTACAAATAAATTTTTTTTTGTACTGACATAGGATACTGACACTCGCTGCACTCCACTTTTACCTAGACTTTAGCACACAGAAGATGTCAAAAGGCTGATGCTTGTAGTATCCCTGTTACTAAGTAACTGTTAACTCAGTCTCTGCTTCTAGTAGCTGTGAAGAAATGTGAAGTTACAGCAATATACATAGCTAGTCAGCATAGTTCTAAAGGTGCAAGAATCAAGACTCTGGAGCAAGATAATGAAGGAAAAACCCATGTGGGTTTGAGTGCTGACACTGATCAAATATGCAATAAGATGGACGTGGAACCTCTGGGTAGCTCATCTGCTCTAGCCAAACAACTTCCTTCTCCCTTCCTTGCTGTATGTAGGTGTACATTTCACTCCCCAAAGTAATTTTCAGTCTCTTTTTTTAAACAGCTGATGCTGGTTTTTTAATGTTGCTGTGACATAGCTGCCAATAAGGCTGTCTGCCTAGTGTATAACTTTAATGACCTTATTAGTAGCAGGTCAAAGGTTTATATGATGTGGTTCAGAAGAGTTTTGGAATGCTGATGTCTTCTGTCAATGCATAATTTTTCCTGAAGGTGTCTGTAATAAAATCTTTGTACAGGGCTCTTCATGCAAACCTGTAAAAGCGAAGCTGTATGTGTGAAAGCGTACTTGTGATAAGACCTGGGTTGTGATTGCTGGCAGTCCAATATACTCATGTCTTTGAATATTTTTACCAATGTACTTCTGAAATGTTACTGGTGGGTAAGCACTTAACTTTGAATTGACCCATTCAAGTCTGAAACCTTATGAAGGCAACGGGTTCCACAGCTGGTCTTGTTTAATAGGATCTATTTTTAAAACTGTTTATTGCCTTATTGTTGCAGCCATTCTCTTGAATGTATTTTGGGTTCTTACTTTAAATATAGTCATATCACCTTCGTTGCAGGGGCTGTGTAACTTTGAATAAGCAGTAATTACCTATGTTGTATGTGACAGTTAATTGAAAACAGTTAACTGCAATGAGGGCTGGAACAAACACAGTGTAGACTGGTGGAAAAAATACAAAAGCTATTGCTAAAATTTGAGTGGTGTAAACAATTTTGTTCATGCTGAATTGCATAACTCAGACCTCTTAGGGAGCCACTAAGGTTGTTATCGTGGTGATTTAATTTTGCCCATGAGGCTAATTCTATGCAGTTCATCCACTAAGCACTGTTTCTGTAGCTATTTGCAGTAAATGCCATATACTGTGCTGCGATTTGTGAGCAACTTGCTGCTTAATATCAGGTTTTACACTGAACTAGGCCTGTGTATGGACTTCTGTTTTGTTTGGAAATGACCAGCATAAAGAATGTGTTCAGTGTGGTCATTTGCTTCTTCAGTGTTACAATACTGTACCTAAAGCTTCTGTGGTTGTCTGTTTTCATCGTTAACTGTTCTTTTGACTGACTGCACAGATGGAAAAATAAAGTAACCAGACTTGATATGAATATTTGACCCGAGTGGTTTTCTGACTTTTTCTGAATGGGATTTTGCCTGTAGAATGAGACTTCTTGTTTGAGTGTGCAACACTACAAAAGATGACCTGTCAAAAGTCATATTCTAGCGGGTGTAATATCTACAGATGACTTCATTTTCAAGTACACATTGGTATGTATCTTTCAGAGCAATGTTACTAAAGGTGGTTTTTCTGCCTTATCCTTGAAAGTTGGCATTTCATCTTGGCAATTAAAAAAACCCCAAACAGACAACAAACTCAAAAATAAAACCACCTCCTCCCTCCTTTGTTCTTGATACTTCTTAAGATTGGTTATAGACTTCTTAGTTTTTCTGTAAGTATGTTGGTAAAGTGGGAAGTTCTTCGTCTTCTGGAAATGAAGATGTACAGGAGGAGGAAATGAGAACATGCTTCATCCCTGATTGCTTCTGTTAAGTAAAATGCATAAATTGAATCCTGAGTTCTTTTATTGAATAATAAGAGATTAAAAGAAGATTTAAAAAAACAAACAAACAAACCAAACAAACCCACCAGATAAGATCTCTTTAATCTTGAGAGAATGAGCTGTTTTGCTATTGTCCTACTCTTCTCACTCGTAAAAATTGGCTACTAATGGAGTACAGTAAAATGCTGTGGCATTATGTAAGTTGAGCACTTGGGTCTTTTGACCTCAAAAAGTTTGAGTTGTGTGTGGGGGGGTGTATTTGGGGGGCTAATGTAAGTGGGAATGCTCGGTGATGGGCTATTGGTGTCAGATGCTTGTAAAACACACGCTTGCTTTTCTGCTTTGGTACTGATCCCAAGGAAATGCTTCATGGTCTGTTCCCCTGGAATGGATAAAGGTGCTGTTGTACAACTCTGCTCTGCCCAAAGTTACACCAAGGGCTGTTTTAACTGATACTGCACCTTCCCCACAGGCACTCATGTGCTGTCAGGGGTCTCCTGTGGCCTTGATCCTACACAATTAAAATACACAGTCTTTGTAAAATACAAGCAGTGTTTCATCTTGCTTGGGTAATACTTATATGAAGATTATTTTTTTTTACGTGGGATTAGACTGGAAGTTGGCAGTGTGATTATGCTGGGTTTTATATAAACTTTTGATACCTTAGCTGTAATCTTCATGTAGAGCAGAAGCTTGTATCTTTTGAGCATCTCTGTTATCCCTGTGGGTGTTTGTAATCAATAAAATGTTATCTCTGACAGCTGGATGGAATGGAGGCTCTTCCACCCTGCTTTGTAGACTGCCTTTGAGAAGGGTTTGCATCTGGTCAAGGGCTTATGTTGACACATAGCAATGTTGGACTTGGCTTCAGGCAAAAGGAATGGCAAGATGAACCTGTGGGTGGACAGAGCAGCATCATGGAGCGAACAGAAGAATTAACCGGTGCTAATGTCTGAGAGCTCTTGGGCTGTAGTCACCCTTGGAGGAGGTACAGCTGTGGAAATCTGGGGGAGAAGTCTCTTAAAGGCAGGAGACCTCATCAATAGAACTCAAACCAAGACTTATGTCCTGGTTTTACAAATGGGGACACAGATGAAATACACCTTGGGCTTTATTTTCCTGCATTCCTATTCACAGGGCCTTTCAGCTTCCACAATGGGAAATGGATAATACAAATGTTCCTTCAACTTTGGTAGCAAAGAGACCCTAATATCTAGGCGAGGATGGGATGGGGCCATAATATGGTCACTCTGGGGTCGTTGTCAAAGTATTGTACACATGCTGTTTGTGCTGTACCTCCCTCTGCTAGTGTGCTTTGTGCGTACTCCCACAGGACTCATCCTGAATGCTGGCAGTGTACCTGAACTCAGAAGGGTAGGAAGAAGGGATCCGGTATCGGGGAGCTGTGGCCAGAGAGGTACTTACCTGTGAATCCCTCGCGCCTGGGCTTGTGTGTGCTGTACAATTCACACGGCTGACTTCACCCTGTTAAAACTTCCAGCCTCCTATGCGGATGACTGCAGAGCTTCGAAAGGAGAAGCTATGTGTAACCTGTGTCCTCCTCAGAACTGCAGAGGAGGATAGTTTGCTGCATGTCATATCAATTTCCTCTCCTCTGTGCTAGACTATTTTAACATCTTGTATGGGGAGTTGAAAGTGTCCTATCAGCAAATATGTCTGTTCACAAATAACACTAGCTCTGGCTTGAAGCAAGTTTTGCTGCTACTGTGTGCTATATTAAACTACTAGAGCTACATTAACACTGAATTTTTATTACAGTCAGTCTTGAACTTCCTAGTGCAGTGCCCTGCTCCTTTGAGAACCTAATCAGGAGCCTTCTGTCTTTCTGAGAATCTCTTGCTTATTTTGAGTTAATTGCAGTTCCTGTGTTTCAGCCCTTCAGTGCCAGCTGATCAGCTGTTAGCCTTTTCCCTGTTTAAAAATGTCAGGCAACATCCTTGCCACAGTAGAATGCGTCAAAATACATCTCTCATGCACCAGTTGTTTCCAACATGAGTGGTTTCAGCTTTTAAGAATGTGAAGAGTTGCTACCCTCAAGTTCTGTAAGACCCTGCTTTGAGAACCATCTGAGAAGAAACAGGAGACACTGCCTGCGGATCTGGGCGGCTGCGAGAGGGCTGAGCTTGGTGTGGGGTGCTGGTGCCCGCATGGCACGAACAGGCGGCTAAGACACGACGCGGTTAGCTCAGGCTCACCAGGTCTGCAGCATCGACTGCGTTCTCCAACACTGATCAACCCCACAAGCCCACTTGGGTTTGTGGCTGGACGGCACCGCATCCGCTGTGACTTCTGATCCTGGCACAACCTGACCTTTGTCCTTCCAGGAGCAGAACTGGTCCGATGGACCTCTGTCCCGTGCCAGCGGGGTGGTGGCAGGTTTGCAAACAACCGGCACCGGTGCTCCGGCCACGGGGGAGAACGCTCATCCTTCCTCCAGCCCAGCGAAGGGGGTGCACCAAGGCGGAAGGCAGGGAGCTGGGAATTTCACTTTGTGGCTCTGATGTGCAGGTCGTCTACTGACTTTCTGTGTTAGCCTCTTTATTTTCCAAAATCCCAAGGTTCATTTAACAAGCGCGGCATTTAAGCACTAGCAATGACGCTTATTGCAGCCCTTTTTACACTTTACAAAGGATTCAGATACTGAGGGCAGACTTGATTTTGTTTTCCCTTGTCCCCGCTTCCAGGATGTCCTCGTGTTTCTCCTGAATCCTGGAGTGACGGCATGGGTAGGGGAAAGTGCTTATCCCTGGACTGGCTGCTTCAACAGGTGAGTTGCTCGCAGTGCAGATCCAGTCTGAAACCCCGGAGGTTTTTAGTACCCAAGTCGGGTAGAAGGGAGCTTTGGGGCTGGCTTTTCACCACTAGATGGCACGGGCCTTCAAGCTTTGCGGTAGAGGTCCACCTCCCAGGAGAAACGTGGAGTCCATCAGGGCCAACGCCGTTGAGCTCCTTTGCGTTTGCTGTCGCTCTTTTTAGTAATTCTGCTGGTGTTTAGTGGGATTGGGAAGTACAAGGGCAGCTCCTTGCAGGGGCTGAGCCTGGTTCTTGTTTGGCCGTATGCTTCATGCCAAAAAAGCGGTGCGACACATGGAGTCCTGTGCCTAAGGGGGACTTGCACGTTGCTCTGCGGCACAGGAGGAACATTGGATTTTGCTTTGTAAAGGAAAGTGACCTTAAAAATTATCTGCCCCAAGAAGGGAGGTCTCAAAAGTGCCAACAGGGATCTGCTTTTTTTCCCTCTCCCCATGCTTAGGAAAAAAAAAAAAAAAAACAAACACACCGCAGCACCTCTTCAGGTCTCAGGGTTACAAACATACTGTAACGAGGTGAACAGCAGCTTAAGAAATGGGTTGGGTTTTTTTCCCGTCTAATCACAAGGGCAAGCTGCCTGCTGTCCAGATCTCTTCAAAACCAATTCACAACTGTGTGTCCTCACGCT